TTAAACTAAAGTTTCAGCAATATAATAACTTTATCTTTGGCTTCAGCAAAATGAGACTAGCTCATTTGAGAACTCTAAGATGCTTTGGAAGAAATTGCCTTTTTTATTCCTTTTTGCTCAGCTCCCAACAAACAATTATCAAATCACAGAAGATATCCCCTCATCAACCTTAAAGGTATTTAAGCTTTTGTCATTCATTCATTCAAATAATAATAGTAACTCTATTATATAAAGGTCTGCAATTGAAAACATATAATTATGTCACTGAATATATGACTCATAATTATATCTTTATCTCTGCCTGATGTGAAGTATCAGAGGATTGGGATTTTAATGTTTCATTAATTAGCCTAAAATGCATTTGCTGAATTATATTTTGCAATAGGCAGAGCATTGCTAATGTAAATTATTTACAAAATGATCTTTGACCATTGATCTGCTTCTGAGTATCTGGCTACCATATCTGAGCTGCAAAATCCAATCAGTCTTTGCTGCTATCAAGTGGTAATCTGGGTTTTTGTAGCCCAGTTATGGTAGAACTATTTAAATGTTGGGCATGAGCTATTCCAGCAGGATTCATGTCCAGTTAGTGGCTGCCTGGCATGGAGTAGTCAACAGAATTGCGTATCCAGGATGTATTCAGCTGTAAGACTACAGCTGAATACCAGCAAGATGAAGTTACTGTTGCTACAGAAACCTCCTGGTATTATGGATGTTTATTGTCCTGTGTGGAGTTGAACTTCCCCTGAAGGAAATGGTGTGCAACCTTGGCTTTCTCCTGGACCCTTGGCTGGAGTAATGGTGAAAGCTGTGGTGAGGAGACCCTTTGATGTACATCCTTTCCTGGACCAGGAGATGCTGAAGATACCATGGTCATTTCTAAATTTATTTTCATTAATATTCAATTAAGTACCATCAAGCCATTTTATCCGGGATAAACCTTAACCCAGAATAATCTGTCCCCAAACTGGACCTTAAATCTTCCAATAGTGCACCTATCATCAGTTTAATTGAGCCTGGCTGCTGGCTATCCTCTTCTACTCCTTTTCCCGGCATAATGGAATTCTCAGGGGAGCTAGATCTTCACCTGATATCCAAATATGGTGATTTGAGTTTCTTCATTTGTACTTTAACTCTGGATAGATTTGTTTGACGGCCCATTTGTTTTCTTGGCTAACCATGGTATTCTTAGGAGTCTTCTTCAACACCATAGTTCAAAAGTGTTGATAAATTCTTGTTCCTCCTGCTTTTAAGTCTAACTATCCTTCCTTCCATTAAGGACCACAAAGAAACACCACTGCCTGCACGATTCTGATCTTTGTAGGCATTTTTCCAAGGCCTCCGCTGCTATTCTAAAAAATAGCCAAGTGTTATTTTGTAGCATATTTCTTGACTGCTGGTTCCTTTGTCGTTAGTAGTAAATTGTAAAAGGCAGAAGCTATTTAGCACTTAATTGTCAGTTCTAAAGGTAGTTGCTGTACTATTATCACTAGTCTTTTTATATTTTAAATGGAATACTATTTTTATTGCATTCCTTGACTTCATTATGACAGCTTGCGGATAATTTGCATTTTCAGCTATCAGACTAGTGTCATCACCATGGCAGAGGCTATCAAACATTTCTTCCTCCAATTTTAATGTCCAGTTTCCCTCAATATATATTCAGCACGTAAACTGAAGAAATAGAGAATATACAGCTTTGTCTTACTCATTTGCCAAACTGGAGCCAGTCTGTTTCACCATACTAAACTATGACTTTCTGTCATGTGTACAGGTGTCAAATAAGAACAAGGAGGTATTCTGAGGTTTCCACTTTCCAAAGGAGTTTTCCCAGTTTGACTCAGTCAACACAATTGAAGACCTTTGTAAAATCAATAAATCGTTGGTATTTTTTGTTTTTTGCTTCCTCAGTTGTCCGAGCATGCTTCAGCAATATCTCTTGTACCTCTAGTTTTTCAATAATAACAATAACAATAGGGTTGGAAGGGACCTTGGAGGTCTTCTAGTCCAACCCCCTGCTCAGGCAGGAAACTCTATACCATTTCAGACAAATTGTTGTCCAATCTCTTCTTAAAAACTTCCAGTGTTGGAGCATTCACAACTTCTGGAAGCAGGTTGTTCCACTGATTAATTGTTATGTTAGGAAATTTCTCTTAGTTCTAGGTTGCTTCTCTCCTTGATTAGTTTCCATCCATTGCTTCTTGTCCTGCCTTCAGGTTCTTTGGAGAATAGCTTGACTCCCTCTTCTTTGTGGCAACCTCTGAGTATTAAAACATTGCTATCATGTCACCCCTAATCCTTCTCTTCATTAAACTAGATATACCCAATTCCAGCAACCGTTCTTTATATGTTTAAATTTCCAGTCCCCTAATCATTTTTGTTGCTCTTCTCTGCACTCTAGTCCCAACATCTTTTTTACATCGTGGTGACCAAAACTGGATGCAGTATTTCAAGTGTGGCCTTACCAAGGCGTTATATAGTGGTATTAACACTTCATGTGATCTTGATTTTATCCCTCTGTTAATGCAGCCCAGCACTGTGTTGGCATTTTTGGCAGCTGCAGTACACTGCTGGCTCATATTTAAGTGATTGTCCACTAGGACTCTGAGATCCCTCTCACAGTTACTACTATTGAGCAAGGTACCACTTATACTGTACCTGTGCATTTGGTTTTTCTTGCCTAAATGTAGAAACTTACTTTTTTCACCATTGAATTTAATTTTGTTAACATAGCGCCCAATGTTCAATTCTGTCAAGATCCTTCTGTATCTTAAGTCTATCTTCTGGAGTGTTGGCTATTCCTGCCAGCTTGGTGTTGTCTGTAAATTTGATGAGTTCCTCTTCTATCCCCTCATCCAAATCATTGATGAAGGTGTTGAAGAACACTGGGCCCAGAACAGAGTCCTAAAATCATCCTGAACTTCTAAAATCACCTTGAAATTCTGCCATTTCTTTTTCCATGTAGGGCCCTAATCTGTTGGATAATCCTAAACATTATGTTGCTATGTGAAATTAAGGAACACGTGTGATATAGTTTGAACAATCTGCTAAATCATTTTCTCTCTTACTGAATTTGTATGTAGACTAAGCTCTTCCAGCCAATTAGCCACTATTGTTCTCCAGATTTACTGGCAGTTTGGTTAGCTTTACTGATTCTTCTTCCATTGCTTGCCGTATTTGTATGGATATTTCATCAATTCCTGTAGCCATTTAATTCATAATGATCAGAATGCTGATATAACATCTTCTTAACACCAAAGTTTCTTGTAAATAGGGAATATCTTTTAAAGTTTCTTAGATTTTCTAGGGAGTTAAGATAAGACATCTCTACTGGACAGACTTTTATACTCTTGCCATTTTTCTTTCAACTGCTTTGAATCAGTCACTATCTGCCCATTGATGTTCCTTTAGCAGGATGGAACTTGGTCTTAGATTGGAAATCTTTTGGAAGTAATAATTGGACTGACCGGGAACTAATAAATTGCTTTATTTCATTTCTATTTTCTGGACCTAGACCATACAATCCAACTACATTTTTCTGTTTCCTATTTCCAACTTTAGCATTTCAATCTTTAAATATAAGAAGTACAACTTGCTTGCATGATCTGTCAATTTTACTGTACATGCAGTTGTTTTTGAAGACAACTTGGAAACTGCAGCTGGCACAAAAGGCAGCTGCCCATCTGCCTGCCAACATTAGGTTTAAACTAGTATCTGTTCTATTGCAGCTTCACTGCTTATCAATAGATTCTGGACGCATTCAAGATCCTTGATGCTAATGTTACCTTCAGGTTATCTTCTGCAGATAAAATTTGCATACATTACATAGAAAGTGCTCTGGGTGCCTGAAATATTAGACTTTATGACTGGGATCCAGAGAACAACATTCTTAGTAGCAGCCCCCCTCTCTGAAACATAATTTTCTTGAAGCCTGTGTGGTCCCATCTTTCTGTCCTTCAAAAACATGGCAAAGACAATCCTTTTCCAGAGGGCATTTAGAGATAAGATCTTACTGGAGGTAGTAGTTTAATTAATGGAGTTTAATAGTTTACTATGAATTGCAGAATTATGAATGCACTTTATATATAGTAAGGCATTTACTCATATGAGTGACTTATAAATTATGAGTAACTAAATCAGAGGTCCCCAATCTTTTGGGCACCAGGGACCGGTTCCGTGGAGAGAGGTTTTTCCGTGGACCGGAGGGTGCGTGGTTTTGTGTCCTGCCTCCATCCCGCAGATGGGGCTTTGCTTGTTTGTGTGGTTGCTGGCATGCTGCGGCCCAGTACTGGACCATGAACCGGGGGGTTGGGGACCCCTGAACTAAATAATTAAATTTTAAATCTTCTACTTGCAACACACAGTTCAACTAGCAAAAGAAAAACTGATTATTAGAAAAAAAATATTCTAAGCATGTATCTTCATTTTATTACTGTTGGATGGTAGTGCATTTCTGAATTTTGGTTGCTAATGTGAACAAGACACCAGTGGCCTATTTGGATAAATCTGGCAGATAGGAACAAGTTAAGTTTCAGGGGTCTTGTTCCAATTTTAAACATTCTGAAGTGGAAAATTATGAGGTATAGCTTATTTAAAAGGTCTGTCATAAATAAAAACTCTGAAATTCTACAGATTCTAGATGATACCTGTCCAGTTAATATGCAAATCACAGAGCACAAATGACAGGCTCAAACTGCTGTCAAAAGTCAATCTTGTCTTCAAAGAAAATTGTTTCATTTTCCTGTATGGAAGAGGATTATATCTCCCACATATACACCATGTGCTCCAGCAATGAACGTTTAAATCCGGTTCTGCTTCCAAATGAAACCCTCACCAGCGTTACGCGCGAGCCTTCCTCTACTTTCTCTTTCAGAAGACCCGGAGTTCGTGCTAGTTGGAAGTAATACGGTCAGATCAACTCTGGGCTTTTAATGCCTTAGTTGGTTCTCTAGAACAAACCCTGGAGGAAAGGTGAGGCGAAGCAGGGCGAGAGGATCAGCCTCTGCAGGAAACGGCCGCTGCCGTTGCATCACCAGTTTACACGCAGAGCCGAGCTGCAGTTTCCTCGCGGAACACGGGAAGGAAACTGCGCGCTTGCTTAGTTGTCACCGCCGCCGCCGCCGCCGCCATGGCCCAGTTCTTTTCGCTGACCGATTGCGAAGTGATCGCCTTCGATCTGGACCACACGCTGTGTCGCTACAACCTGGTGGAGAGCGCCCGGGTGAGTGGAGCAGTTGGATGGCGAGCCGCCCGGATTAGCTCCGCCAGTTCGAATGGCCGCCAGGGTCCAGCAGGCCTGCTCAATGCCATTGATCCCCCGGGATACGACGATCGCACGGCTGGCGAGCTTCGCAGAACGAACCTCGGCCTGGCTGAATGGCTACTCCGGGTTAGGAGGAGGAGGATCTAGTCTAGATTCTAGTCAGCGTGGCCCAACCCAGGGTTTGCACTGCGAATATAGCTGCCCGCTGCAAGTGGCGCTCTGACGTCTTTTTATGCGGCTGCAGTAAAGCCCGCAGTTGAAGACGGGGATCGACTTGTGTTATTTCAGGAAGCGGAAAGGGGCGCGAGAGTTTTTTCCTGGCCTAAAGACCAATAATTGGTGGATGGAACACGTCCACCCCTGGCTGTATTCTGGCCAAAACGCATATGCCCGGAATTAAGCTGTACCGTATGAAAAAGCAACGCGCTTAACTTCGGAATGCATAAGATTGTGCTATTCATATTACAAGCTTCTATTTCACCAAATAGTAACTCCTGCCAAGCCCGGTGGGATTTTATTGATGTTGCGCATAGATACACTTGTAGGCTTTTGATATTAGTCTTTCAAAATTTTATGTTCCCTCGGAAGTTGCATTATAGTTTATGGCATTTACTCCCCAGACAGAATTGTGTGCTTTCTACCAATCTACCAATGTTTCCAAACTCTTGAGTTGTTACTACTGTACCTGGATTTCAAATTGTATATTCTTTTTTTTTTTACTTTTTCTTAATTTTTTATTAGTTTAGGGTAATTGATTTTTATTTTTTTTAAAAAAAATATTGCAGGATATTAAATGCAATTAGATAAAAACCAAGTGTGGCAATATTTTATATATAAAATTTGGGGGGAAATATTTAGTAAAACACAAAGTGTGTCTCTTTGCCAGTTTCTTCCTCCCTCTTTTTCTTAAATCAGTGCATAAATGTCCAGGCAAGCTGAATTACATATTTCTTCATGCAATGCACAACTGTCTCTGCTTCAACCCCACTTCTAAGATAAGGCTAAGGATGGGTAGCTTTTTCTGCAGATTGCAGGAGTGGCAAGGTTTCAGGAGATCTTCTATCCTAATGAAAGTTAGAGGCCCATCACCCATATGCAGCTCAAGCATGCCTATATCAAGAAACTCACCACACTAAAATCTAATAAATAGCTAGAATAAAATCTGCTCTTTAACTAATATACTAATAATATTTTTTTCTAGCTGTTCAGTTTTCATGATTTCCTAAGAGAGAAACTCTGGAAGATATAATGCTAAGAGTTCCCTTTTCAGAGACCTCTTAGATTAGAACTCCTACGGTTCTTTTATTTTATTTTTTTATTTTTTATTTTATTATTATTATTATTATTATTATTATTATTATTATTATTATTATTATTATTATTGATCATCGCACAGTCAGCCAGATGTTCAGACTGGATTTGGCATTTTTGTCTACCTATCGAGTCCTTACCAAGGACCTGGGATAGGCAATGTGGATATTTGATGGTATTACAGATATCGTCACAGGATGGAAGCAGTTCCTACTAAGGCCACCTTTTGCAATTGACTAATGGCGAATTTGTCAATGCCAATGGTGTTCAAGTTGTTTTGGGATTGCACCCAAGGCACCTATTACTATTGGTACTACCCTTGCTTGCCTTTGCCACAGTCTTTCTATTTCTATTTGTAGGTCTTTGTATTTTGTTATCTTCTCCAGTTCTTTCTCGTCTATTCTGCTGTCTCCAGGCACTGTCACGTTGTTGTTTTTGTTATTATTATTATTTTAGATGATGGCATAATTCTTAAGTCAGCCTTTGAATTTTATGTATTCTTACACAAGAGTAAGTCCAAGGTTGGGTTAGGTTTTACATATAGTACACATTCCTGAGTTTGCCTATTAAAACTAACATAAATGCATAGAAATTACATTCATGGTTATTTAATAAGCTCTGGTTCATGTATTTTAAGCAGTTTGCTATGTATATATAATGCTCCATTTTAAACTGTGAACTGATTTCAGCTGCTATTAGGATCAGAACACCCTGAGGGACCTTGATGTATTTGAACATGTTGCCATTCTTAAAGTCTAACTTTTGCTAAAGAATCAGATAATTAAAAGCTCATCTACATTGCTAATTTTTACATACAGAACATTGGTTGTCGTTCATAAGATCCTGAATGTGAAGCAATAGTGTCTCAATATACTTTTACATAGCATTAAATGTTTTTCTTAATTTGTAGCTTATATATGACAGCTTCGCTCAGTACATGGTGAAAAGAAAAGGATATAGTAAAGAACTTCTGAATGTGATGCCTGAACACTGGGATTTCTGGTCAGTGATTTTTTTTTAAATTACCTTCAGTATCCTCTGTTTGTCTCATTAGTTGCTTCTAGAAGAAGAATCTGCCTGTATTTAAAAGTTATTAACTGAGCAGTCTCTCAGAAGCAAGTATACCCCATTAAGTTCAATATAATTTATTCCAAGTAAGAACATATAGGATTGCAGCTGTAGGGTGGCGATATTGGTGGACTATATCCCACTTCCCTATTTTCTCCAGACAATATTTATCCTGACTTCCTGGGTATAAGAGTGTTTCTTTATTGTGCTATACTAAAAAATCATCATGTGTAATGGATGTCTAATGAGCATGGATTCTCATCCCATCCTTTGAGTAGCTGGCATTTTCTTCTTCTTCATTCTCTGCCTGCCTTATAATAAATAAGTAAGCCTTTCTCTGCAGCCTTTGAATGAGGCTGAATGAGAACACCCTTCCTTTTCATTGCCTGTTATATGAATAGAGTAAATGGGAGGGTGTTCCAGGCAACCATCCTTTTCTTGAGGTTGAAGGTCCGTTTCCTGAGCTTGTGGGTTGGTTTCTGAATGATTTGTTAGGCATTTGGAAACCAACCCACACGCTCAGAGAACGAACCTTCACTCTCATCCTGCACCCAAGCTACACATATTTGCCTCTATTGCATCCTTTTCTTGTTTTCTTTCTCTTTCTGACACGAAGGATACATCAGTTGAGAGGTCTAATTTGAGGGCTTGCAAAGGGATTTTGTCAACATGTCAAAGGCCATAGATTTCCTTTGGCCTGTCCATGTATTTTCCAAAATATTTAGTTTCTTGATTGTATTGATTAGGAACCTAGACTATGGATTAATATCCTTTTCCCATATTGTGCAAGTTATGCTAAGCTCCTAGGTATTAATCTAATACAGGGGTGTTAAACTGCCGGCCCATGGGCCGGATGCATCATGCGGAAGCCACGCCCACCCCATTGCCGGCAGTGGCAAAACCTATACATTGCGCGATGTCACATGACGTCCTGAGTTTGACATGTCTGATCTAATACTACAGTAAGTGCTGATTATCTCTGATTATCTCCTGATTATTTCTACTGCCCCTGTAGCATTTAAGACGACAGTCTGTAGCATAGTTTACAGGGTCTCCATGTATTTTGAAGCTTGCTCATAATGTACCTCTTTTTCTTCTTCCATTGGTGAACCTGAACTCATATAGCTGCAAGGGCTTGGTTCTGGACTTGGAAGAAGGGAACTTTCTTAAACTTTCAGATGATGGAACTATTTTGAGGTAACATTTAAATTCTTGTTAAAAGTTTGTGTTATATAATTTATTAACTTTCTCACAATGTTCTGTTTTCAAAGTACAATCATATCATCCCTCTCCTGTGTATTGAGGCCACAGGGCTTGAATTTCTATCTCATATCAATCCTGTCATGATTCTAATATTATTTTTGTAATTCTGAGCAATATTGAGACCACCAGTTTGGGGAGTCTGCCTTAAGCCCTGTCTCCCACTTAACTGATCATAATAATGATTTACTTCTAATAGAGGCAGTCCTTGGGTTACAACAGCAATTGGGACCAGGAGTGCTGTCACTAAGTGACAAAACAATTATCAAAATAATAACAGGTATCATTGAAAGCAAAGAGTTGTGAATGATGGCAAACATCACTACTGAAGATCATTGATGTTGTGGAAGAGCAGCCATTGCTTGGCAAGGCTGTTTTGCCTAATATCGTTAAAACTTTAAAATTCTTAAACAAATCCTCTTACTTTTCTTTCCTTGCCTATTCAATTCCATCTTCCTGTCATCTTGTCTCCAGCCCATGCTTCTTTTCCCTTCCTTACCCAGTTCAACTATCTCTTACTTATCCACATTCTATTTTCCTCTTCTCCGCTAGTACTACTGGAAAGAGGGAGGGTGCATGTGTTTCTATAACTTTTGTGTGAGGGAGAGAATATAAATTGGTATGTGTAAATAGGACAAATTAATTCTACTTATTTTGTAGGTGGTTAATTTTAATCTGTAAATGATCCTTTTTTTAGCAGTTATAGAATTCTATTATAATGTTGGAAGGGAGAAATCAAAGAACATAAAGTATAATAACATATCTGATTCTTCCCTCAAACAGGGCAAGTCATGGTACAAAACGTATGACTTCTGGAGAGATCTTGGACAAATATGGAAGGAGGGAGTGGAAACACTTTAAGACAATGAGCGGAATGATTTCTCGTTCAGGTATTACATGGACATAGCCTATATAATAGGTTGATGTTATAGTGCTATATTTGTGGGATCCCTGGTGCTCTACTAGCTTGGTTGTTTTCTTGCAGACATTGCATTACCAAACTAGGTAACATCATAGTACTAGTGGAGAGTAAGGTTTGCTCTCATTTTATATTCTAGTGGCTTGCCCTGTCAGTGTTAGGAGGAACGGTTTTGGTGGTTCTTAATTAGACTATTACTGTTAGCTTGTTTGGTAATTCCTTGATTAGAGTATTATTTTGCTTCTTGATCGTTGGTCTAATGTTAATCTTGATATTACTCTTGGCTCATCTGAATGTTGACTGCAGGTGAGGAGTGTTTTGGTCTTCTTGTTTCCTTTTTGTTTTTTTGATTGTCTCTTTTTAGAATGGTGTGTAGATGTTGTTTACGTCTATGTGCCTATTGATGGCTGATTTGTCTGTGTTCCAGGCTTTCAGAAATTTTCTAGTGTGTGGGGGCTTGGCTTGGCTTAGTCTAAGTTGCTCACAGTGTCCCAGTTAAAACTATAGTTAAGTCTATCCATGTGTTGTGAAATTAAGGAGTTTTCATAATGTCCTGTGATGCTAGTTAGTGTTGATGGGTGTGCTCTGCCAGTTTTCTACCCATTTACCCTATATAGTGGCTTTTGCAGTCCTTACACTGTATGTTGTAGATGACACCTGTTTTTTCTTCTGGGGATGGGGGTCTTTTGGTTTACTTAGGATGTTTTGGAGAGCTTTAGTTTGTTTATATTGTACGGTCAGGCAATGTAGTTGTAATAGTGGTGTTGGTGGTTTCTGAGATTTTTGATGTATGGATGGCCGCATTTTTTTTTTTTTACAACTTGTGTTGATATATTGCTCAGGCACTTTTTGTTGAAGTTGCATGGGTATCCATTTTGCTGGAAGGTGTTGTATAGATGACCTGTTTCCTTTTTCTGATGTTCAGAGTTGCTGAAGTGTCAGAGCATGCATAGTCTTATTGCGCTGAGATAACCCAGGAGTAAACACAGTAAACAGTGGTCTATATTAAATGGTGGTTTATCATATACTATCTACAATATACACCAGGAACAAAATGCATACACGTGGTAATACAGCAAACTCCAACATACAGCAATTACAGGAGGAAACAGAGGAGAGAGAAACACTCCAGCAAAAGCCTTCCCTTTTATACTCAGGCACTTAAAGAGACACAGACTCCTGTTGAGTCATTCCTATCATTGCATCATCCACCTTACATCATTACATAAGCTGTTTAGCTATTAAATTATTAAATTATTACCTTGACATAAGTATGTTTGTGCTCATATAAATAGGGTTCTTAACACAGCTTATATTGTGGGAGGTTGGGTTGTTACTTAGGTAGTGGAGCACCTGGTTGGTGTGGGTGGTTTTACAATAGACTAGTGTTTCTAATTTGCTGTCATTGCCTCTGCTAATGAGGATATCCAGGAAGATTAATGTGTGGTTGCTTTCCTTTTCCCTAGTGAATTTTATTCCTTTGAAGATGTCTGATGGTTTTGTGTGTTTTCTCTAGTTGGAATTAGACATTAGACCAGCAATCAAGAAGCAAACAAAGCCCCAATCAAGGAGCTGTCAAACAAATTAACAGTAAACAATAGCCTAATCAAGGAACTACCAACATTGATAGGGCAAACCAGTAGTATAAAAAATAAGAGCAAACCCCACTCTTTACTAGTACTGATGAGGTTGCCTAGTTTGGTAATGAAAGGTCTTCAAGAAAACTACCAAGCTCAGAGAGCACCAAGGACCCTATAAATACAATACAGGTTTTCCTATAATTAATGCGTTACAATATTAAAACTGGAAGGTTTTCTTTTTCTTTTTCTGAAGATTTATTGAAAGTTCACCATAAAAAGCTTATGTCCAAAGGTTACATATAAGGCTAAAATTAGATATATACATATTATATATGTATATATCTAATATATAAATATTAGATATATACAATATATAAGTAAGACTCTGAAAACATATTCCCAAAGCGGATGAAGAAGTCAGGCTGAATCTTGCTCTGGATATAATCTGAGATGGTGTGATGAGTGGGAGAGTCTGAGAGGGATAAAGTTGTGAGGTCTTTTTTTCCTAAAAAAAAATAATAAGATGGGGCTACCCTTCAGAAAAGCTCCAGCTGTTTTGGAAGCAGACATTGTTGGAGCCTGACAAATCTTTAATAGGAGTGCATTCCAGAGGTCCAGTGCCATCACAAAAAAACAATGTTTCCAGACTTTTCTCTCACTTAACCTCCTGGAAATTGGTAATGTATCCCAAAATTCATACGTAAGTTTTGATTTCCTACAGTGATATTTGGAAGGCAACTCATAATTGTATGATTCTGCAACATCTTGATGTCTCTTGAGCAATAACAAATAGGATATTCTATTTCTGATACAAGGGGAAATTTTGCAGATATCATTATTATTATAGTAAATAAGTAATAATTTTTGTAATAAAATGTTGATTTGTCCACTTGGTGTCTAATATGGCATTCCATTTCTTGTCTTTGCAGCTAAATACTATGCCTATGACAATTACTTTGATCTGCCCGGGTCACTTCTTTGTGGACGGATTGTGGATGGTTTAGACAAAGTAAGTACTAATTAGGTTTGGAGCATCAGATTTGGAGCTGAAGGGAGATACATTTGAATTAATATTCCTCCTGCTTCTGTTCCTCCTAATACTCTTCCTTCTCACATGTTACATGAAGCTTGAACATTCTTTCAGGGTTCAAATTCTTTTTTTTTTTTTAAAAAACAAACTTTATTGATTTCCCCCCCCCCCGAAATAAACAAACATACAATTATGGCATAAGTCAATAATACAATTAATAAAAACAACAAACTAAAAAAAACCTCCCATTCTAAGATGCTCAGTAGCCTCGCAGGAACACATTCCCTCTCTTCAACCTACTTCCCTCCTTCCTTCTACCTCCTTCCCTCCTCTCCACCTTCTCAACCACTCTACTCTACACATCCCCCCTCCTTCCCTCCTCCTCTTTCAGATGTGGTCCTGTAGGTCAATCGAGCCTCCATTCTTGTACTAAAAAACCTCCTATTCTAAAATGCTCAACAGCCTCACAGGACCACATTCCCTCTCTCCAACCTACTTCCCTCCTCCTTCTTTCTACCTCCTTCCCTCTTCCTCTCCCTCTCAACCACTCTACTCTACACATCCCCCCTCCTTCCCTCCTCCTCTTCCAA